AACCCAAGCCCGGCTCGAATTTATTGCGGGCCGGGCTTTTTGGCCCGAGTTTAAGCCCGCGGGCCTATAAACATGTTCAAGCCCGTCCGGGGGCCGGGCCAGGCCAGGCTGACCGGTCGGGCCACCCGGCCCATGAACAGGTCTACCTGACGTGTATCCATGCCAAATAAACCTGAAGATTTGGGCCTTAAGGCCCTTAACCGACTGAAGAATGTTCTGGAATTCCCTTCTCCATCAACGCATGCATAAACCTTCCTGTCTATAAATAGAGTAGCCCTCCCCTTTAGAAGGAACTCTAACATCTTATCTTCCCCAATCCTTAGTATTTCTCCTAAGTTCATATGCCTTCTTCTTCCTCCAGCCAAGACTTTGTCTCCTTGAAACCCTAATCTCTCCAGTTACCCATCTTCTCAACTTAGACCTATCTCACCACCACCTTACATGCGTTGTAAAAGCTCTTAGTAGAATGGTGAAAAGGGCTGTTTCAGGGAGTACATAGAAGGTTTTACAGTGGGTAATGAAAGGGCGGMGGTAGCATTACTGCAATATGCAGAAGACACTCTTATTTTGTGATGCATCTCAAGAGCAGCTGCAATACGTCATGGATTGAAATGACTTTTACAAATCCATAACAGAGAGAAAATGCAAATAAAAAGGGAATAGTGAAAACCAAAGTAGAATTCTTCCCATGCATTCAATATTAACTTCCATATGCCAAGTTATAATCCCTTGAGATTCTCACTAATAACGAACACCATAACCCTCAATTAGAACATCCAAAATAGTCATGCCATTTTTTTTAACTGCCACCCAAACAGATAGTCTCATCTAGTTACCAAACCGAAATTGAAAGCCTAGTTAATACCTTAAAAAAGCACACTGACAATGTAACAGAAAAAGCGAGATAGCAAACTTCGAGAGCCTAGCTCCACTGCCAGGATAAAGCACTCATCTAATCAAACCCTAATAGCCCATCCATAGGCATGTATCCTCCTTTTTAGGAACTGGGGAGGTATCAGTATCAGGATCCAATGGCTGAAGCCACAACCACACGTTCCTCGGTCAAGTGCTTTTTGCGGCGCTGCCCTGTACTACAGCTTCTTCTTACTGTTTGAAAAACACTTGAGAAATACCAACCCAAGCTCTCAACCGCAGACCCCCATGTCTTCTCATCCCTTATCGCGTTTCAAGTTTGACTCCACTAAATCTTTCATATGTTAAATTTATAACTCTTTACATTATAAAAATACGATAACCCCAATTCCCAATCTTCAAGATTTCAAAAACCCAAACCCTAAACCCTAGCTTTTCATATTGCAACCACCCAAGACAAGAACCCTTCTAATTATTTTTCAAAGCCGTGTTTCTGAGGTAAGTTTCAGAAACTCAATCAGAAAGAAGTATTGTCAACTACAGTCATAACAAAATTCATCAAAAACAACCCAATTGGACGAGAAGGAAACAAGTAGAAATACTCAAAAGACCGAAGAGCAGAATATACCATGTGAGGATACTTGTCTTGATCAACCACTCTAGTGTTCTCGAGCTTTATATTCAGGTACTGATCGACGGAATGTAGAGTCCCCCTTATTGCGAGGTCATTCTTCAATTCGACAGTAACTTCTCTGCCCACCAAATCCTTGAAATACGAGAAGAACAACTGCGAAAGAAATAGAAACAAGAAGAAATTAAGAACCAGAAACCCAGAGAATAAAACTCATAAAGAACGTTCAACAAATCAGACGACAAACTTGAGAAGAAAATAAAAGACTACAAAATAACAGCTCGAAGAATATTGACAGAAAAAAAAAGGAAAAAAATGAAAATGGTAGAATAAAAACGTTGACGAAGAACTCAAACAGAACACAGATAAATAAGATTCAAGAAGCCTTGCCATCTTTCGCTCTTGAAACTTTGAAAACGAAGAAGACCTCTCTGCTTGCTTCTGCTTCTTTGTTCTCTGCTCCAAAACCGCCCAAAATTAAGAGCCTTCGAGTGGGGTTGGTTACCGCCCGATCAAAATTATCGTTACCGTCAGATCATCAAACTGCAACCTGCTGAAGCCAATCCGAGCCACTGAGCTTTTGCACAGGTTGGAGTTAAATTCTCGGGCTCTGGATGGGCCTGGGCTTGAAAACTTGAAACCCTGACCCAAATTTGGATTGAATTAGAGTTGGGTTTTGCTGGGCTTTGTCTAAGATCGGGCTATTTGATTAATGACAACTCAACCCAAGTTCAACAGTTTAGCCAAGGCCCAGCTCGGACTAATTGAAAACTAAATCCCATAAATGGCAATTTCTACTATGCCCGATAATTGATAATTAATGTATTTTTTATATGTTTTAATCAAACAATTAGAAACTTTGATGCTTGTTCGTGTTATTTTACTTGTTTATTGCTTATATATAAAAGGAAGTAAAAAAAAATTAGAAGTGGATTTTGATAATGTGCGATGGCAGCTGGGATGCCGAACTGGTGAGTTCGTTAGGTCGATCGGCAAAAAGATAGTATCAGATTGCCTGGGTTGCTTTACCCAGGGAGGGCACTCTGATGTTTAAGTCAACGAACTGGAGATTTTGGAGAGAGCTAAAGAGCGAAAGAGCAAGAGAGTTGCGAGAGTTAAATTGTGCATACCTTATGAGGTTGGAAATACGACATTTATATGGGCATTGTTTGGCGTGAGCTCCACACACTGCGTCTGAGATCTCCGGGAAGACGTGGTTGACCGATCTGAAGTTTTCAGAGGTAGTTTCGCATACAGATTAGGCTTTTGTGCCTTCCTTCAGAACATTCGGTATGGTAGYTGACTTCAAGAGGACCCAATAATGATGTCAGCGAGCACGTCTTGCAGGTCGCCACCTGAACCTCAGTCAGGTTGGCAAGTTTTCAAAAGAGGTTGCTCCCCCACGCCAAGGTCACTTCGACCAGTACTGACGAGGTACTATAGGTCAGCAAGTCCTCGTGGAGGTCGCTCCTCACGCCGAGGTCCTTTGAACCGATAACGATGATGTACCACAGGTCAGCCCTGGACGAAGTGTTCGAGTTGTGTATGAAGTGCCTTGGATTGATTCCAAGGTGCGTCTCTTTGATTCGGCAAGATACACGTTTATCCGCATGGCGTTGAAGTGTCAAGTGGCGAAAATGGATGCCACGTGTCACTAGGTCAGCTAAGGCCAAATCACCCCTCATCAGACTCTACACCCATTTGCCAATCTGATTCATCCCACCCTCAAATATAATAAGGGTAAGGTCAGAGAAGGTTTTGCATTTTCATGTAAAGAGAGAATTTAAATTTTGAAAATCAAAGCAACTACAAGTTTTGGGCAGGATATAGATTGGGTGGCGGGAGTTATTCTAAGCTAAAGCCTATCTAAACTCACCTGATTGCCATCCCTATTACTCTTGACCTAAATTCCTGTTGAAACTGGGTTGGGTTAATCCAAGTAAAAGCCCATCCAAACCGGAATTGGGTTGGGTCCAATTAAATTCAAATTTGCCCAATCTTATATAACATATCTATTGTATACATGCAGATCGCGAGTGTGTGTACGTATAAATTCATAGTGTATAAAGTATAAACATATATAAAATTTATGCCAATCAAATCCCATGAAATTTGATAAATACCACGGATATTACTATATTACAAGTTTTTTTAATATAATGTCTTTCTGGTAACATAGTTAAACTCATATATTTGTATATAGAGAGAGATGGATAGATAGATAGAAAGAGAGAGATGATGGAATTTGTAAATATCTTCTTCTAATCTATCAATAATTTGATAGTAAAGCCCAAATGAAAGGTAGAAATGAAAATAAAATGAACAAGTAAAATAATAGAAAGGTAATAAAAAAACACTTGGGCAGAGTTTGGGAGTACTTATTTGAAAAGCAAGTATTTATTTATTATAATAAGCACTTTTTGAATAAATACTTAAAAATAAGCCTAAAGTTTGCGTTTATCGAATTAATGTTTATTCTCAAGAATAAGCATTTGTTCGGGCTTATTTCCAATAAATGCTTATTTGTGTGGTCCTGGTTTAAAATTACTGTTTATTTCAAAAAAACACTTAGGTTCCGCTTGGTTTATAGTCAGAATTAGAATCGAAATCAGAATCAAAATCCTCAGGAGTTGGAATCAGAATTAAAATTCTCAGGAGTTGGAATCGGAATGGTCCATTCCCATAGTCTGTTTGGTTCAGATAGGAATGAAAATGGGAATTAAAATCTGCAGGAATGGGATTTCATTTCCAAGGGAGGGGCAGGGAATGGCCATTCCCTCAAATAGGGGAATGCCATTCCAGCAGGAATGGGAATGGGATTCCGATTCTGCCCAATCAAACAATTGGAATCGGAATAGCCCATTCCGATTCCAATTCCAAACCCCTATTCCCGCAAACCAAACAGGGCATTACTTTTAATAACTCTCAAATTTAACCTTAAATTTTAAAGTATTTTTAATATATTTCTTTAAATGCATTATTTTTTTTTTCGTTTTTTGAAGCCAAGAGGCACATTCCATTCATCAATAAAGATTACATCTCATGCAAAATGATAGCCCTCAAGAAATTAGGGATGGAGAGGACCAAGTTTTGGAGCAATTATGTTTCATGGCATACCGGGCAGCCCTATTACAAGAACGAGATGTATGGGATCAAGAAATGGATTCAATGGTGAAAGCAACCCCCACACAGTTCCTACAAATCAATGTTTTTGAATCGTCGTTGATCCAAATGGTCGGACCATTCGGCCTGGAAATCGTCCAAGCAACCGGTTCTGTTTCACCCCTAACCCATTCCTGGGTCAAAAACCGTTGACTTGGTTAGAAAACCACTGACCTGGATGGTCGAACTGTCGACTCGTTTGACCCAGACAGCGGTTCTGACCCAGGAACTCTCTTCTTCGTCAAAAAACATATGAACTCATATCTGAGTTCGTGTCTCAGTTGTCTCAGATCTGAATTCGTGTCTCAAATCTAAGGAAGAAGAAGAAGAAGAAGAAGAAGAAGAAGAAGAAGAAGAAGAAGATCTGAGAACTCAGATTTGTTTATGTTGCCGCCGCTTCACCGTCGTCGTCGCTATCGCCATTATCGTCGCTGGTGAGTGTCGAACCACCCTCCTCTTCCTTCTTCTTCCCTCCTTCCCTCCTCCTTTTCCTTTCTCTTCTTTTCTTTTTTCCTTTTGCTTCTTTTCTTTTTTCCTTTCTCCTTTTTTTCTTTTTCAGCCAACAACATCTCCTTTCCTTTCTCAAATCTCAGAACTCATATAAAAATAGTTGCCTTAATATGTGAACCGTTTGACCTGGACGGTCGAACCACTAACCCAGAAACCGATAGTTAGAACAATTCCATTTCCAGGTCGACTTTTAAAACCTTACTACAAATTGCATACATATAGAAGCCGAAATGTTATAGGTGGCCCATATGGTGGAGAGGCAAAGCTGAAAGAGTGGATTTGATCAGAACACTTGTCCCCGCATGTGAGAGCACTTTAGATTTCCATCCCTGTAATTTTGCTTTAACTCTATCAACTATAAACTGCTAAGCTGAGATTCTCAAGGACTACCGAGGTAGGTATCCTCCGTAATTTCAGGAACTCCCAAAGTGTTCATAATTTCAGTTCTAACATTTTTCTATAGTGGCAACACTAAAATGGATAGCAGATTTATCAAAATTAATGATCTGACAGAAATGATTCAGAATTGTCTTGAGATTAAGTACTTCATTGATGTTGGCCTTTCTCATAGTCAGCAATTAAGTATGTCTTTGGTATAGCTTTTATTTATTCATTAAACATTTGTATTTAATTTGTTTATAAAATCGGGAAAAGTAATAATGAAATCATTTATGTCTAATAGTATTAGACACCAAATCAGCGCGAGTCTATGCATATGAATCAACATGATGGGTTAAATGCTGAAATAATACCTATATAGCAGCATTTATTGAAAAGTATCTACAGTTCCAAACACGGCCTAAGTGTGGCCGCTGAATTACCCATTTTGAACCCCTTAAGTGTGCCATTAGATAGGGCTTCCATTAACGTCCTAGAGAGGAGTTCAAAGGTAATATGGTGATGATTCTCATGGATTGGGATGCTACAGGCCCGAACAAGAGAGCAGAAATTTTCAGAAAAGACTAATAGGTAATAGCGTCATACACCGTAGCAAAAAGTCCCATTCAACACGGTATAGGCTTTGGAAAGGTCAATTTCTAAAATAAAATTCCCACCACCAGTCTTGAATTTGTGAATAGAATGAACAACCTCCCTATCTATAATTGTATTGTCTGTAATCTGCCTCCCCAGAGTAAGCATTTTGGGTGGGGGAAATGAAATTCTGCGACAATGGTTGTTTAAGTCGAGAAGCAATTATCTTGACGATCGACGATCTTGTAGTTGTATGTAACATTGGATAGACCGATCGGCCTAAACTCAGAAGCCACTTCAACTTCTCCCTTTTTGGAATTAGCACAATATGAGTAGCAATGTAGCATTAACAAAAACTATAGGAGCTGGATTAGCAAATAAATTTCTGAGAAAAATGCAAAGATTATTTTCAATTAGATCTATTCATGGATCGGGCTTTAAGCCTAATTTTACACGATTTTGGGTTCAGACTTCAAGTCAAATGATTCAGATCCATTAAAATTTTGACAAAAGTCAAACCTAAACATGGCCCATAAACAGGTCTATTTCCAATGATGTCCCATCCATTTTGGTAGAACATAACATGAAGCCCATCAGGCCCGAGTGCTTTTAAGAGAGCGATGTCAAACAGAGCTTGCTTGATTTCCAAATCACTAGGCAAGACACACAGACCAGTATTCACATCTTCAGAAATAACGGGGGGCCATTATTTGTAGACATTGACTTTATATAAAACCATTAAAATATTCCGAGTTAAGCAAGTATCGTCATTATATATTCAAGATATTTAAAGGAAAAAAGATTGTAAGCTAGACATAATTCAGAAAACCCACCATCCAAAATGCCAAAC